TTATGTTCCTAACAGAGCACTTCACACTCAATCTGCAGGTTTACTAGTGGTTCCTAGAATTTCTAAAAGTAGTTATCAGGCTCCTGTCCTGTGGAACCAACTACCAGTTTTTAGTCCACTACCAGTTTTCTGTGTCTGCTTCTGTCTCCTTGTACCCCAGTCAGCCTCACACTGAGCCTGGTTCTGCTGGAGGTTTTTAAAAGGGAGTTTTTTCCTCTCCACTGTCACTACAAGCATGCTTAGTGTGAGGGATTGCTAAAGAGTCAATGAGTCGTGCAATCAATTGTTTTTTCTTAAATAGAAAACTTTGAATCAATCTGACTGGATGATCTGGTGAACTGGAAAGTGACCTGAGATGACATCCATCCATCCATCTTCCTAAATGCTTAATCCCAAGTGGGGTCGCGAGGGGTGCCGGTGCCTATCTCCAGCTGTCCACGGGTGAGGCACGGGGTACAACCTGGACAGGTCGCCAGACCTTGAGATGACATGTATTGTGAATTGGCGCTATATAAATAAACTGAATTGAATTGATATATGATTGGCTGATATATATGATACTATCAGCAGTAATAAATTAATAACGTGGCCTTTGGTCGGGTAAAAAGTTCTAATTTCTAAAATTTTTAAATGATATGTTTAAATCTGCTTCAGCAGAAAAGATATGTTTTTTATTATGAGACATTTTCTGACAACACCAGAGATGAACCTCGGTTTATTTTTCTGCATGTATTCTTTTTATTATATGTATGTGAAAGGACAAAATACCTTAATATTAAGTAGTGAATAAAACAATGATTGGTCAAATGAATTCTGATTCACACTTAAGCACACAGTGACTTCTATGACAAACAATGACCAAACTACTGAAATGTCTACCGTAGGTCCGAACTGAAAAATCAGTGCTGCAGTAATCTGTACATGTGGATTGAATTACTAAAAAAAAAAAAAAATTCCAGTCTAGGACAAACATAGTTCACAAGTTTACCTCCAGTTTGACAACTTTCTTAGTTATGAATGACGTGAAAAAATATGCCAGATCAAGGTTATGGGTCAGTGTGACCAGTTCTCGGCCTAAGTTAGTTTGTTTCATCGCCTCCATCAAACTTAAACGCAGCGTGGATGGGTCTCTGGTTTGAAGGAGGTCTGCGTCCTGTTCCTTCACATCGGTATCAGTTCTTATCCCAGTATATCCAGATACACGGGTGTGGATTTCATCAGTGCCTGAAGCTTGTTTTGAATGTCTTTAATGATGAGGCGCTGCTGTGGCTCCCGCTGCCAGCAGCCCAACATGATATCATAGACTTCCTTAGGACAGATTCTTGGGCGTTCCAGGACTCTGCCCTGAGTAATGCATTCAATAACCTGGAAAAAAACAAAAAATGAGGCGAAAAAAGAGATAAATACTGAAGAGAAACATCCTGTGTCAGACATAGTCAAATATGAGCAATGACTCGTAAGACAAAAAGTGGATGAACCCATTTATTTTACACTGCAGCCAATAGAAACGTGTGTCTTGTACCTCATTGTTGGCGAGCTGAAACCATGGCTGTTTGCCGTAGGTGAAGATCTCCCAGAGAATAACTCCAAAGCTCCACACATCACTCTCTGTGCTGAACTTCCTGTACATGATGCTCTCTGGGGGCATCCAACGAATAGGGAGCATGGTGTGACCTCCAACCTGCACAGCAAACAGGAATCAACATCAATCATCAACGTAAAATCAATAAACCCAGGCGTGTTTGATCGGAGCTGTCAGAGATTACAGCTGACTTTAAAAAAAACAGATGTTTGTAGTTCCAACCCCAAGGTTTGTTCTGGTTTGTCTCTGATCTCTGCACCTCATCTGGTTTTACTTTTTCTGGTCATTTTCTCTTAATTGAAACCTTTCATATCGACACGCTCCCGCCGTGCAGCTTTGGTCCTGAAACTCAACTTTATAAAGCCGCTGTCACACCTTCACCAGCGTATTGGCTGCCGTAGAAAAACGGTGGCAAAAACACTGGCATAAGTTGGATAAGTTATGGGTGTGCTGAAGCAACCTGAAACATGCCGGCACACCTTGGCAAAATTGCCAGCATCTGCCATCTATGGGCCGTCAGTTCCAGGTCAGTTCTCTGATGGTCGAAATCCGTTTAGTGTCAGTTCCTCATCAGTCGTGGCGTCTAGCTTATCCTAAACCTCTGATTAACTTGTGCATAACTTCTGCGTAAATTATCAAGAACTTCTCTCCAACGCATATCAACATATCTGACGTGTTCCAGAGGAGCGCTGACCACCAACAAACTTCCTAGCAAACATGACGCTCAATCTGCTGCCACCAAAAACCTTCTTTCTTTCTTTTTCTTTTTTTTTTGTGGGCGGGCAGCATCAGGGGAGCAGCTTTAACTGATGCCCATAAAATGATGCTTATGCATCGTATCATATGCAGAGGTTAGGCTGTCATTGGACAGAAGTTTTGGACTCGGTAGAAATACTCTATGTATACAGCAAAAAAATACATAGAAAGTTCAGCGTATGCGTAAGCGTTTTAGGAGATTCTGTGACATCAGGCATACGGTGGCTTGATCAGCAAGGTGATAGGGCCCTAAGATCCTTAGGAGACCTGATAAAGTGTGCTCACATGGCTATCAGTCATTTAACAGTTTGATTATTTTTACTGCAGCACAGTATGATGAGTCACGAACTAAAGCCTTAATAAAAGTCAAAGTACACATCACTGATAAACTTCGTCCAGTATCTGTTTATTCAAGTACTAAACTCAGGAACTACTTAAGCTAATTTATACTCAGAAACCAGGTGGTCTGCTCGTGAGTCGCAGTGAACAAAGATATGCCCCGCCCCTTCCACAGACACTCTGCTGCACCTCTCGAAAACTGTACGTGACTGTAGACAGTGCCGCAGATAGGAGGCCTCTGATTGGTCAAATCTCCATCCGCTGTACATTATGCATATTTCCTGTTTGGTTCCTTACCGGCTTGTTTTGTTTGTCTGACCGCCATTGATGAAAACGACTGGTGAAAATGGAGCAGCTAGAAGAGCAAGGTGCGCGAGATTTCTCATTTTTGCAATATTCCGCAGATGAAAGAAGGGAATTCTAGAAACCTCTTTGATATGGGATTTAAAATACAGGTCCTGATCAAAAACGAAACCAAGATTTTTTACTTTATTATCATAGATCAATTTAATCCCACCCAAAGGAAATTACTGACTTATCAG